GCTCTGTTATCAGCATACAAATGGAGCATGCGGATTGTGTCCATCTTGTGTGTTACGAATTCTTGCTGCATATAGACTCAACGACAAAACCTATGACAATTTGTATCATATTTATAAAATAATATGTACTATTTCTGTAACACAAGCCGAATGTGAAAGATCGTTTTCTAAGTTTAAGTTAATCAAGACAAGATTGCGTAATTCTATGTCAAATGACCACTTAGAGTCGTATATGTTGATGTCTGTAGAAAAAAATCTACTTGATAGCCTTGAGTATGATACGATCATTCAAAGATATGCATCTTCGTCCTCTGAATTGAGCAAACTGTTTAAAGAATAGTTATTGCTATACTTTGCACTGTGCAAATTGCACATCACTTCTACTTTTTTAATTTAATATAATTTTATTAATCTGTGATTTAATTGCTCCTCTTAAGACTTATTTATAGAGAGTTGCGGACCGGACAGTCTTTGCGATATATGTATGGCCGGGAGGGCCCTTTAATTATTTTCATGGCCGGTAATATATATACAGCCAGTCCGCCACTGATGGTGTTTACTTAAGATTAGTAAAATTACTACATGTAAATATCCATGAAATATTCTTCAGAACATATAGTATGATTGATATGATGATTGATTAAAACAATTTATATGATTGATTAAAACAATTTATGCTAGAAATCTCAGAACGTAACAAATCATGAATAATAAAATTTCTAAAACATTTTAACAGAATTCTCTAGAACTTTATTTCGCACATATTTCTTACATTCAAGTTTTTTATGTTTCCATATATGTCCGTAAAGGTGAGTTTCCACTCATCCGCCTTTCTACGGGAAATGTAAAGGGAACGTAAAAATAATCACGTGAGCATGCGTAGTTTTAAAACTTTTAATACGCATGCCCACGTGATTATTTTTTCCTTCCCTTTCCCGTTCTCGTGAAAAAACGGATGAGTGGAAACTCGCCTTAAAACAAAAATTTTTTGTTTCGTAAATAAACTTAAATGTTCTCAAAACGACTAAAAAACATGGCCAGTTATTCGCAACTAAATATAATTTCCGTGGTCAGTATTCGAGAGCGATAGCTCCCGCTTCCAGACCAAGCCTGTCAATTCGATTGGCATCTTGTTTTCGACAAAATATTGAAATTTCTAGTGAGAAGATAAAAGACATTGTTTCTATGTACCCTTACATGCCAGCTGTACACGTTTGTTTCTATAAAACATTATTCAGTAGTTGTTTTTTCAACTCTTTATATACTTTATTTGTGTTATGCACTATTCAGTTTTATCTTGTATAAGGTTCGTTTAAACTGTTCTTAACTTTTTATTTGTATTAAAGACATTTATTTTTTATTTTCAATAAATCTTTTTAGATAAAAGTTATTTCTTTATAAATAATATAGCTATGGTTAAAATCAGTTTGTTAAAATTGAAGCTGTCCATTCTACCAGAAGCAATATATCGAGAAAACTTATTAAAAGACCATATCCATTTGAATTTGCCAACTAAGTGTTTTAGTGCTTTTAAATCCCTAAATTAAAAGTAACTTCTTGTAATCCATAAACTCCTCGCAAAACGTTCAAGTTGTATTTACTAAAAAATGGAGATAGCACAAAATGATATTAACGAGAAATTAAAATTAAAAAGTTTAAATTAAATTTTAAAAGTTTAAACAAAATTTAAAATTTTGTTCTATCTCCAATCAGGGTGGGGCCATAATAACGATTTGAGCAAAAAAAAAATTTTCACAACAACTAATTATTATGATTATATATCAAGTATTGAAAAACGTTTGCATTATTAAAAAATGTATTGCCACTTCTGCTGGATTGCAGTGTAAAACTTCAACTTGATTTATCTCAGTTTAAACTAGGGATGTACCGAAGCTAAAATTTTGCCGAAGCCGAAGCTTCGGCCGAAGCCACTTTGCCGAAGCCGAAGCTTCGGCACTATATATGCTTGAAATTTAATCAGCATTCAGATCAGCAGGAGTGTAAAACAAAAAAGGTTCCAAAACTAAGATCCTTGACTAATAATATAGAAAAAATGTATAAAAATGAGGACACAAGTCAGGGTTGCTGCCCCAGGCAGGGCAAAAGCTCTCAGCGCCCCTGTTTAAAAGTTTCTCATTATGTCGTTTCTGATACTTCACCGCACCTAGTGTTTTTTTTTAAAACTTAAGCTTTTTTGAAACATTTTCCCCAAATTTTCCTACTTCTAATTCTACTTTTTCTGTGTGCAAACCATATTAATGCTATATAGTGCACAATATCATTAACTCACATATATTTCCAACTATTCCCAATATTCTTTAAAGATTATTGCTATTTTTTTGATAGCCATACTGTTCTTTTATGTAAACATCGTTTCTCTTTAATCTTCTATCTAATCATCTAATTTTTAATCCTCTATTTAATCATCTTGTTTGCTCTATCTAATTATAGTGTTCTAGCTCAACATCCTCAAATTTTATTCCCCATAAATTACTGTTACGCATCTTTTCATGTGCTGTATATTTTATTTTTATTTTTAATGCACCTTTTGTTAAGAGTGGATAAAAATCTCTGAATATTACTCAAGTAAATTAATTTTTTACATTTGAACACTCTTTCTCTAATTTAACACTCTTAGCTGATCTAGTTGTATCTACAACATAAAAAATCTTACAAACACACTTTATATTTTTATTGCTATTTATTTCAAGATCTTTTTTTTACTTCTCTGTATTCATTAAACGAAAAATTTCTAAACTAAAAAAAACCCTAAGTTAAGACCATTTTGTATTCCACTAGAGCTGTTGTGAACCTGCTGCTAAAAAAAAGTACAATTGATAGATTTCTCTCTAACTTCTTTTTTACACACTTTTAAGTTGTTGTTTTTTTTTATTATTATTTTTAATTTTTCACTACATAACATTTTCTTAAGCTTCTTTTAATCTTTTACACTCTGAAATTATAGTATTCATTCTTCTTCTGTCTCTGTAATGGATAAATCTGCACCAGTATCTGAAATCAAACTATCTGTGACAAAAACTTCTATAGTAATCTAACAACTCAGTAGAGTGAGCTTTAAATAAAATAATAAATAGAATACTTTATAAATATTTTATTTATAATTATATTATTATTTACTTTATATTTATAAATAAACAGGGACTGAGCAGGCTGATATTTATTTGATTTTAATTGTTTATTTAATTTAAATAAATTTTGATGATAAATATAAGAGCTCAAAGTAATCAAAGCTTTAACCTTTAATTTATTTTAAATAAAATTTAAAAGTCTTCATATCATAAGAAGAAACCAGAATATAAGTTTATATGTTTAATATATAAATTCAATTTAGAAGTATTCATAATATTAATAAAAGAGCAAGGATAATTATTATCATTGTTTTTCTTTTTCTTTTAATTTATATAGTTTTGGTTGACTTTTTTTTTCTTTTTTTATTCTCCTCATTTATATTTCATTTGCATTTCTTCCTTTTTTGTTGTTGAGAACTTTATGTTTTTTATGTGTCACTCCATTGACTAGTTTGTAACTATATAAGTGACACCTTACCAATTTCTGTAATCTTACGATGAAAATTTGTAAATTTTTATTATTATGGTTAAATAAAATTTAACATACGCAGAATTTAAAATAGTAGCAACGTATTTTTAATCTTCTTTAAAGTGAGATTACTAAGGTTTATAGGTTAAATGTTGAAACCAACTTTTGTTCTATTTGCGGTAATCCCACACAAAAATTAATATAAACTCGTTACATAATACAAATTAAGGTTTTTTTTTCCATTTTATTTTAAAAAGTTTTAATTTGTTTTAAATTATAAGGTTTTTATTCTGCATAAAAATGCTAATTCAGTTCATCTAAGTTACACTTGGAAGCCTTCAAAGTGTATAAAGACCTTCCTTAATTTTACTATTATATTCAAAAAATTTCTACTTATTTATTATCATCCTCTCCATAACAAGACATTTGGGAGTAAATAATACTAAGTATATGGTATAGACTCCAACTTTAACTCTGTAGTCCTGAATTTACAACTTAATTAGACACTGGCAATTAGCATATTTTTATAACTTGTACAACAGTAGCTTATAACTTTAATTACTTAAAATTTTTTGCCGAAGCCAAAGATTCGGCAAAAATTTGACCTGGCTTCGGCCGAACCGAAGCTTCGGCAAAATTGCCGAAGCTTCGGCATGCCGAAGCCGAAGCTTCGGTACATCCCTAGTTTAAGAAGGCCTTGAGTAATACAAATAAAAACTACAATAATAATAAAACCACAAAAACTATAAAAACACAAAAAATAATGATAATAGTAACAATAATAATAAAAATAATAAGGCACTTGTTTTCATAAACACAATAGCTAACAAAGTTAGCAACATTAAACTAAATAAGAAATAAATACCAATGCAAACAACGCACTAAAACATAAACAATATGAACTATTTACTATAATGCCCAATGAACAATACACAAGAACACAAAAACATAAAACAACAACAACAAAAAAACAACAAACAAACAATGCAAACAGCGCACAGTGGGCGGAATTTCAAAAAACCTGGCCAAAAGTCAAAAAATGATTATAATTGATTGAAAATTTCTGTATAGCATTTTTTTGAATCCCCGACTTTGAATTTTACATAAGTGTACCAAAATTTAATAATGGCAGATCCAAAATGGCGGTATTTTAAAAACATTAATCATTAGAAATGCCTTTAGGCCTTCGTGTTTAACCAATTAGTTCTAATTTAACATTTAAGTTCAATAGACTAATGTATTATTTACATTACATATATAAACATATATAATACCGATATATAATGTATTATGACCGTATTATTATGCCGCAATGTTAAGAAGAATAAATTGAAAAATTCATTAATTATTCTACTTATTTATTTGTTCAAGGAAAACAAGGAAAACTTTTATTTGCATCATTTATCATAATTGTCTCATTTTCTATTTTTTTTTCAATATTTCAATAATAAATGATTTCTGAATCATTTATTATTGAAATATTGTTGAAAAACTCAATCACAGACGAATGAGTTTCAGAGTTTTCGTTAATCTCCGGAGGTAATAACATTTGTAAAGCTTGAGAAGACAAAGATCTGCTAACTTTTGCATGAGATTTTAAAAGTGAAGATATTGCAGGATCTAACGAAACCAGAAGTCTGCAAAAAACGTCATGCATTGTATTTTTTCTGGAATTTTTCCTAGAGAAATCTTCGCGATATTTTTTTAAGTCTTTGTTTCTCGATTCCTGTGCATCCTCAGATAGTTGTCCTATGGGTAGTATTGCTGTTTTTGTTATTAAGGCTCCATGAATAAGTACTTTGTGTACTGTTGTAGGCATTTTGTACCAAGGATACTTTTCAACAAAAAGTAGTGCAGTTTTGGTAGAATAGTTATCAAGTTTGTCTGCGTCTATAGGAAAGCCACTAGATAATACCTGTAAAATTACATGAAACCGATTTATTAGTTCTAAATCCACTCCTAGAATATCAGCAGACACTTGTGAGTTTTTAAAAAATCTTCGAGCTGTATTTCCGTCATTTGTATTACCGCATCCTGGTTTCGGTCGATCAACTATTAACCCTAGCTGCAGCTTAAAAGCATTCTGGATTAACAATTTGTATTGTAATATTATACTTTTTTCCATGTCAGAACGCTTGCCATTTTTTTATTCCAAGTTTATACCCAAGATGCAAAAAACATTCAAAAAAGCGAATCCATGCGTGCAACGTTGATAAACCGTATTCCAATTTTGATTCGTCAACTTTTATATCTTTAACGAGATTGATATTACTGAATTGACTCGAAGTAGCAGAACACAAATAACACCGCATTGTTGATTTCGTCAATGTTATTGCATTGCAAACTTTTCCGTCAATCATTGTCATAACCAATTTATAATGTATTTTAATTTCTATTTTATGTTGAACAATGATGAGAGGAACCAGTGATTTAATTTTATCTTCAATATAGTCTTTTTCATTAATGCTTGTATGGACATTTTTGTGAAGAAATTGCAGTCTGATAGGTCGGCAAAATCGAGTAGATGAGGGTGTCCTATTTTTCCATAGAATAACATCTTGACCTAAAACTGAATTTGTACACAAAAGTTCTAATGGTACAAGTGAAGTCAGAAAAACATTTGCATCTGAGTTTTTTCTATCGGCAAATCTCTGTTTATATTCGCTATGACCGGAACTGCCATCAAAGCCCCACTTAAGAATTAAAATAAAATTTGATAAAATATTTACATTCAAGGAGTCAATTACATCTTGTTGAGTTTTTATAATTCGTAAACAAGTGTGATTTAATAAAGATTGCAGTTTTACTTCGGCGCTTATTTCAGTTACCGTTATATCTTCAGGGTAACACATTTTCTTGGCTTCTTTAAGTTTTTCGTAAGATGGTAAAAAAGAAGAGCTATTCGCAATTGCAGCACTTCTTATAATGCAATATTGGTGTTTAGAAAGCTTTGCTTCCATTAGTATGGAAAGAGCTGTTTCAGCACATAGTTCAGATGTTTGTGAAATTTGGGACAATTTAAGGCTATCTATATAATTTGTGACTAGGTGTTGAATGGTGGAAGGTAAATCTTTAACTGTAACTCCGGCATTGCATGCTCCTGAAGCCCGAAGACTCATCTGAGAAGCAAATGCTAACTCGGATGAACTAAATGTCGAACGCATTTCCTGCGTTTTTCGCCGTTTCGTTCGCTCACTTGCTTCATCAAAATTCAATTCAATTCGGCTCATTGCACTATGGCTTTTTTTCTCTTTGTTTCGTGCTTGAACAATCTAAAATTATTTAAATGTTTAGTAAATATAAAAAAGTTTAAAACTTTAATAGAGATAAGCATTAAATAACTTACACAAATATTTGTTGAGGCTTTTAACCAAGTGTCATGTGTCTTCAAAAATATTTTTTTTGTTCGGTTACTACTTTTCCATTTTATTTTTAGTTTTGTCAATACATTTTTTAGTTTCTTTTTATCATCTGTTAAAAATTGGAAACAAATTTTTCTTCTTAGACACAACTGTGATTGCAAAATATCAAGCTGGTCATCTAGATCTGAAGATAACTCGTTTTTTAAAATTTCAAAAATTTCAATTCGAGGAATTTGCAAATGATCTTTTTGTAAACCTTAGATAATAATTGAAAATATAATAATTGAAAAAATCATAAAAACATTATAACTTTACTAAACTAATTAAAAATAAAATAAAAAGTAATCGATAATATATTATATTATATAAATTCGATACATAAGAGAAAGGTAAAATATACTGTTAATCATATGATTGTATATAGATATAGTTATTATGTTTTTTGAGAAACTGATTTTGTAAAATTCAATAAAACTATACAAAAATCGTCGTAGCTGAGGTAAAAAAGACGTCGTAACCGAGGGGATTTGTCTCCCTCCCCCCCCATTACACTCTAACTTTGTCAAAATCTCATTCATGTGTGCTACTAATTTTATTGTAGTTTTATTGCACTTAAAAAAATCAGTTTCTCAAGAAACATAATAACTATATCTATATACAATTTGACTGATTTTGTAAAGAAAACAAAACACCGCCATTTTGTTTACTAAAAAACATGACTAGCACTACACAATATAAGTTAATGAAGTAATAGGCAAAAATAGGTGCCTTTTCTTTTAACCAATCTTTAGAATACACTTTTATGAACAACATCCAAATTATAACTAAGCGGAATCTCACGGGTTCACTACTTTTTCAATGCTTGAAAAATAAGTTATAGAAAATAAATAAACTTTATTCTGTACTTTTTTGTTCGCACTTTTCGCATAAAATTTAGAAAAATAATATAAAACTTTTTACTAAAATATTATATAAATACCTTGAATAGTATCGTCCATAGTTAGTTTTTTAGTAACGATAAATAACTTTTTTGTAAACGATACTTATTTAACCACATTTTTTTGTTTGTTTTTAAAACGCCAATTAAGTGTTTTTAATAACAGATGTTTAACTGCGTAGATATAGGTAACTTTAAAATTTATACAATTTTTTCTTATACAATAAAATGCAACAGGGCTTTGTTTATGTAGTTTCAAAATAATAAATTCAAAATAGTGATTTTTTTTTTTTGACTTTTGGCCAGCTTTTCTGAAAATTAGCCCACTGTGCAGCGCACAAAATAAAATACGTACAAAAATAAAGGACAATTGAAGAATATATATTATTTGTTTACAAAAATAAATGTTTTAAATATATAATATATATTATTTAAATTGTCAAAGTTTTGAAAGTTTATTATAAATTATAGATTTTATTAGTATACTCTTATTTTTGTATTTGAAAAATATGTATTCTTTATGTAAATTTAATTTTTTGTATCTGCTTTTTATCGTAATGTATCTTTAAAAGCAATTTTTATGATTTAAACCAAGACTAAATAATTACGTTCTTAATGAAGTTATAATCATTAAAGTTAATAAAACTAATTATGTAACAAACATATAAGAAGTTCCTGGTTACTAAACATAAACAACGTATACAAAGTAACTTGCGGATGAGCAAGCAAGGCGCCTTAGGTCAGGACGGAACACAAATATATATAACAAATTATTAGATATTGGTTTACTAACTCTAATTATTTTCGCTTAAGTTGCGGTTCTCAAAACTCGTTATACTTTTTTTCTGCTTTAAATACTATTTAAAATTAAAAAGCTCACTCACTAAACATCATCAGCGATACTGTGAAGCAGTTTCGCTTTCTCGTCATATAGTATTTTTAACCTTTTTAGTTGATTTCTATCTAATTAATTTAATTTCTATAGTAATTTAATGATTTAATTATTTCATTTGTTTATCTTACTATGAATTACTTCAAACATGGGCTCAAATTTTCAAGTGGGGCAAAAAGTTAAAGGTTCGATTTTTTGAGAGATATATCTACTGTCTACTTTTTTTTTTTTTTTGATATAGAAATAAAAAATAATAAATTTGATTTTGGTTAACATCAAGAAATTAAAGAAAAACAAGTTTGTTCGAATTTTTACTTGGTTTCCAAATAAAACATTCTACAGCGCGTATCGTTTTTTTAAAAAAAACATATCTAACATAAAATTCATTTCAAAACTTCGGTTAATTTCTTTAAGGGTATTCATTACAAATTCTTTATGAGTATTCATTACAGCCTTTCCTGGCTCATGGTGAATTAAAGAAATGTTTTTAGTCTACGGAGACTAATAATAATTATTCTGCTGTACATGTTGATAAGGGCTAGAGCAGAATTATTTTAATAAAAAGGACAATTTCCGAGGCAATTCTTTTCAATCCAATTTGTTCTTTAGCGCGGATGAAATCTAGAACTGATTGAAAATCTTCCAATTGAATTTTTTTTTCAGCTAGTTTTGTCAATGAAATGGTCCCGGTGAAGTTGCAGCCTTTGATAATTAGGAAAATTATTCTTTTAGAAGTTTTTTACGTAGTTAATTTCAGTGTTATTTGATCCAATCACAAACTCTTCAACCCTTGTTAGATGACAAGTGGTTTCAGTTGATTCAAATCTATCGGTGAGGCCAACTAAAACTGCATTTAAACCGGTAAAGTGTAACTGATTATAGATCTTATTTGGATTCTTTGGCTGATAACAAGTATCTTTAAAGACGACTTCAAATCTTGCAGGTGAAAAGCCATCATTTTAGCAGATTCAGCTAAAATGATGAGTTTTCAAGCCTAAAAGACCAAATATGTTTTGGTCTTTTAGACTTGAATACCAAGCAAGCCTCATTAGTGAGCCTCTGGTAAAAGCTATGAACTTTTGAACGATATTTTGACATGATACTTTCTATATCGTAAAAATTACTTTAAAGCACTAGTATACAGCGTAAAAAAAATCTTAAATTGAGACCTAAAGACAATCTAAAGTTTTATTTTATCGAAAAAACGTGTTTTTATATGAAAAACTTTTTGAACTAAAAATATAAACAACTTTTTGAACTAAAAAAAGCAGCCGTGGCACAGTGGTAGCGCGCTTGCCTCAGAGCGTAAGATCCGTGGTTCAAACCCCACCTCTGAGCAAGTTTTACGACATCGGTTGGAAAGGAGGCGTGAACTTCCTATAAAATGCTCTTCCACGGTGCTCTGTGATAAAACCGTAAGGACTACTTGGGGCACTTTAATCAACTTTAAAAAAAAAAGTTTTTATCTTAAAAACAATTTTTTTGGGTATGTTTATAGCAAAGGATGATTTCATTTTTTGCTTTTTAATTGGTTTCTTTCTCTAATTTCTTCCACTGTTTAAAAATAAAAAATTGAAATAATATTTGTTGCAAGATTAGATAAAATTCAAGAGGGCAAACGAATTTTCAAAGGGGGCAAGGTTAACTCAAGGGGGCAGTCTGCCCCCGTTGCACCCCATATTCTACGCCTATGACTTAAAATATGTTAAACTTTTTAAACTACGCGAAACATAAAATAGGTATTAAAAAAATTAACTATTTTATTTATAAAATAATTTAGCTTAAAACTAAAACTTGCAAACTTTGTTAAATAAAGAACATTTGTTAGATTAGATTAGATTAAAATTTATTAGAACAGTGAAACATGTTCTAAAGTACACGAAGGTCCATAAAATATGAAGGACTCTGACAGCGTGCCCTACAATCACATAATACAAATGCTAGATAATTTAAAATATATATTACAATTATATATAAGACCATAGTTATAAAACAAAAACCAGTTAGCCGGAACAGTATTTTTCAAAGTCAATAGAGTTAATTTAAATTTTGAAGCTCTTTATATTTTTGGCATTCACGACGTCAGACGGCAAGCTATTCCCAAATATTAACAACCCTGAGTGAGAAAGAGTGTTTACGGACATCGAGTTTACATTTTAGTTTGCGTAATTTAAAATTATGTCCTCGAGTGTAAATATAGTTGTTAAATAAAAAGAAACTTGATTTATTTAGGCAAACTAAATTGTTCAGAATATTGTAACATGTAATCATGTCTTGCTTAAGGCGACGAATTTCTAGTAGTTCCAAACCAAGAATACTAAATCTACTTGAATATGAAACATTATTTAGGTTAAAAATTCTCTTCGTAAAACGTCTTTGTACTCTTTCCACTGTATTGTTCATTTTAGTGCGATTTGGCGACCAAACCGGAGAGCAATTTTCTAAGATCGGTCTTATATAAGTAGTGTAGGCTTTAACGATAACACGTGGATCACGACTTTTAAAACACTTAAGGATTAGATATCTTCGAATGTTTGATGCACGGACGATATTTGAAATATGATTACTGTAATTTAAGTTAAAATCCATGGTCACACCAAGATCTTTTGGGTTTGTAGACCAAATTAAATTATGATCGTTGTAATTTATATCTTTACAAAATGAAGTAGGTGCTATTCTATGAGTAAAGCACTTATTATTGGCTATTTTTAATTGTGATTTTTTTGACCAGAGATAAACTTTATAAATGGCTACAGCAAGATCGTGACTGTAATCGGCATCCTTAAATGAGCTATATAACTTGATATCGTCAGCATATAACATTAGAGAGCAATTATGATCTTTTACTATAGAGGGTAGATCATTAATAAATAACAAGAATAACGTTGGACCCAAGACGCTACCCTGTGGAACTCCACTCAGGATGCAGGTTGGATTAGATAGTGAATTTCCAACCAAAACTCTTTGATATCTGTTAGAAAGAAATGCTGATATCCAATGAAGCAGATTATCTATTATGCCGTACATTGCAAGTTTCTTCAGAAGTTTTGGATGAGGTACAGAGTCAAATGCTTTTTGAAAGTCAATGTATACCACGTCAGTAATTAAATTGCTGTCTAAAGCTTTATTCCAGTCATTAGTTGACTCTAGAAAATTTGTGCACGTAGATCTTTTAGATAAAAAGCCGTGTTGTATAGGTGTTATTAGATTATTTGTATTAAGATAATCAGCGATACTTGAACTAACAATACTTTCCATGACACGACAGCTAGTACATATGAGAGAGATAAGTCTATGATTGTTAGCATCTGAAGTAGATCCTTTTTTGAAAATAGGGGAAACCGTAGCTTGAAGCCACTGTTTTGGTAACGAGTTTGACGTAAAACTTGATTCAAATATATATGAAAGCGGAATACATATTATATGTGCTAACTGTTTTAAAAGTATATTTGGTATACCGTCTGGTCCAAATGATGTGCTAGGTTTCAGATTTTTAAGTTTTTGATAAACTATCTTTGCTGAAAAATCTACGAAATTCATCTTAACATGTTCACTAACAAAGGTATTTATTTTAGACAAAGTTCCGTCATCTATGGTAAAAACACTTCCAAAGTGTTTGTTAAACACTTCCGCGATCTCAACATTGGTAGTAGTAAAGTTGCTATTTGTTTTTAGAGGATATATTTTTTTGGGGTTGTTTAGATTTTTATTTACATAACTGTAAAAATTACTTAAGTTATTTTCTTTGACCAGTTTTAGTTCCACATTTTTGTGGTGTGTGGATATGGCTTTTTTACATTTTGATACATATTGGATAAATGCCTTTTTGTGCAAGGTGGTCTTTGTGATTGATCATCTTTTCCATAGAAAAGATTTGCGAATTAGCATTTTATAAATATATTTTGGATAAGAACGACTTTTTTTCTTATGGTATATTGTTCTGATTGGAACAAAACGATCAATACCTTTACGAAGATGATTAGAAAAGATGTTCCAATACTCTTTAGTTGTAAAAACAAAAGAAAAATCGAAGTCCCAACTTATTTTTGATAAATAAGAATTAAAAGCAATTATATCTGTATTTTTGAAGTCGTAAAAAGATTCAGAGTTTGTTTCGGGCTGATAATAATTAAAGGTGTTTATATAAAAAAAGACTGAGTTATGGTCGCTTGTACTAAATGGACACTCAACGGAAATATTACTTAATAGGGAAATGATATTTGAAAGAACAAGATCAAGAATACTATTTTATCGAGTGGGCTCCAGTACATATTGGTACATACCAAGATTATTTACCAAAGTTAAAAAAAGATTATGACATTTCTTAATTGGCGAAACATAGTTAACCCAATCAATTTTCGGTAAGTTGAAATCTCCGACAATGACAAATTGAGGAACAGATTCACAGAGATTGCTAATTATCGAGATCATTGATTCAAGATAAATATAATCATCAAGAGAATAGGACGGTGGACGATAACAAGTAATTAAGCGGAGTTTACTAGACCCAAAAATTAAATCAACACAAATTATGTCAATATCTTTGTCAGTTTGAGTAATACTTACTATGGCGGATTTAACGTCATTTCTGCAGTATATAGCTACACCACCGTCAATTCGTACCCGGTCTTTACGGTGTTTCCTTTTTAAACAATCGTAAAATGTTACTTTATATAAAAAACGTCGTTTAATTTTATAAATAACATTATAAAAGAGCGATGTCTCGAAAATATTTGTTCTAAACGTAATTTATTTTGCTTTAAGTTTTTTCGCGTTAAAAGATATTTTATTTTACAAACTTTTTTTTTTTGAAAATCTTTCGTGCATTTTTTGTTTTTTTTTGTTTTTTGAAATGTTCTCAAAACGACTAAAAAATCTGGCCAGTTTTTCGCAACTAAATATTATTTCTGTGGTCAGCAATCGAAGCGATCGTTCCCGCTTCCCGACCAAGCCTGTAAGTGGCCTTCTATTTTTTTCAATTTAAGCAGAATAGAAGGCCATGTATTTAAGTGGTTGGCAAACTTAAAGTATCGAGGGTCTTTTTTTTTTTTTTTTTTTTTGTGTGTTTTTAGTTGGCAAAAAACTCATAGGAAGACATACCCCTTTCATGAAAGACCTCTTTGGGACGGCCCTGCAGGGGGAACTTTTTTTACGTGATCTATATAGCTTATTTCCTGAAAACCATCTAATAGCGTACCGTTTGTGTTCTAATAATAGTACTACTTAATGTAGCTTCATCCATCCAGTCAGGTGAATAAAAATAAGCGATTACTTTTACTTAGTAACTAGTCAGCTTTACGTCAATAAAAGCTTTAGCAGTTTTGCTTTTTTTTTAATTCACGTAAAGCTGAGCAATTACTGAGTAAATTGCTTAACTTTACCTGAATAAAAATTTGAGTAAAATTTCTGAAGTTTTTATTCATGTAAAGCTGATCAATTACTGAGTAAAAGCAATTGCTCAATCTGATAATATGAATACGCTAATTTAATATTAGTTGAGTTGCGTCATTTTCTAGGCTTTTCTATTTTAAAGTAGTTTCTAGGCTTTTCTATACGCGGTTTTTTTTTTTTAATTTTATTTACTAACAACGCGTATTACGGGTTGCTTACTGCTAGTTTTAATTACCCGGCGAAATCAAAAGTAACCATATTGAATTGGAGGAAAACCGACTATTCTTTTCTTATACGCGAAGTTAAGAAAACATTATTTAACAATAACTCAGTCTTACAATTACTATGAAAGTTATTCAATAGAAACAGCGCAAAGGTCTTTGCGGAACATATGTTTTATATATGATTTTACTATATTTTTATATACTTTTAAACCTCTTTTTAAATAAAATGATACTTTACATTGCTGTTTACATATTATTTTAGTTATTTTAAAGTATAAAAAAGTACTGATGTTTTGATATTTATTTACCAATACTAAATTAAGATAAATTTACAGTAACACGCCAGTAGTGAAGTCTGCCGAACTAACATTAATATTAGAGAATTTAGGAGATCATTGCTTGCTGCATACACTACTGTCGACATTTTGATTTATCATATTCAGCCACTTTCTTCGAAGTATTTCATCTTAAGGCAGACTAAAGTTCTTGATTTTTTTTAAGGGGGAAGTACCCCATAAATAAGGTAAAAATTAAAAAAATTTTTTTTGACTGTTTTGGAAGCAAAAATTAATGAAGAACACAATGAAATAAATATATTTTGTAAACAATGTCAGGAAAGTGGAGTAATTTCAATTATTTGAACCATACTCATTAAGTTTAACCATAGCAACGCACATAGCAACGATAAAACTTCTGCTTATTTTAGAAGCTCACATAAAGTTATAAATCTGCTTATAAAAAAGACTTTATCTACTTTATTTTTACTTTAATTATCAACTCTGCTTAAATTAAATTTGACTCGATTGCGATTAATTATTTCAGTTTTTAAACATTCCTTAAATGAAAATATTTACTTTGTTTATATGAGCTGTTAAGTGTAATAAGAACATATTTTATCAGATTTTAACAAAAATTAGTCTTAATTATAGGAAGAAAAAATAGAATCAAGCAAAGAACTAGAGTTACTGGAAAGAAAAGAGTGTTTTGTAGTAACCAACACGCTTTATCATCAACATTAATAACAAACTCAAAAAAATATTCAGACATTGATACTAGTTCTTCAAGATCAGCCAGCAAGATTGAATAAAAATGATGAAAAAATAAATAGTTATAGAATAATTAATGTTGAAATTTATAACACTATATTTGAGTCTTTATGTTGTCCACAGTATATTAACAATAATAGCTTGGTATTGAAAGAAAACTTTGTGAAAAAAAAGGTATGGTTCTAATTTAATATGTTGCTGCAGTGTTTGTGGATAAAGAAAAGGTTTCTGTACATCTAAAGTTTGTTACCGCACTCATGATATTCACCTTCGTATTGTATATAGGACTTGAAAAGTTTTCTGCATTAATCAACATCCCAAGTCCAATGAGTAAAAAAATTACAACGGTTTTGTAAAGTTTATTACTAATGCTGTTACTAAAGTTGTTAAAAAAATAATGCTTGAGGCTGCAAAAGAAATAAAAGTTAATAACAACAACATTGTTGATACTGGAGTTTCAGCTGATAGAACTTGGCAACGTAGAGGATACAGTTCACTGAATGGAGTTGTGACAACATTGTCGATGGATAATGAAAAAGTGTTAGATGTTGAGCCAATGAGTAGACTTTGTAAGCAATGTCAACTACGCGAAGATTTAAAATCTAATAATTCAGAGAGCTACAAAAATTGGTACAAATCTCAAAGTTATCCAGCTGTGAAATTTACTAATCCTGGTATTGAAGTTTAAAAGTTAGAATGTGTTGTGCATGTTCAGAAACGAGTTGGGACATGACAAAGAACATTAAAATAAAAAACATGAAAAACCTCTGTGGCCGTGGAAAGTTAACAAACAGTCTTATTGATAAGCTTCAGAATTATTATGGGATTGTATATAGCATGAGATAGGACTTGAAAATATCTTTTTCAGGTTACCTCATCAAAGGAAAATAACAATCACACTCACTGTCCAATTGGTGAAAACAGTTGGTTCAGATATCATAAAGATAAAGCAACAGGCAAATCAACATACAAATAAGGTGCAGGACTTTCACTATCAATTATAAAACATTTAAAACCAATATATGCAGATTTAAGTGAAGAGTATTTGTTACGTAAATGTTTACATGGGCAGACACAAATTCAAAACGAAAGTCTAAATGCAATGATTTGGGTTCGAATCTTAAAAACAAAGTATGTCAGTCTAACACAGTTAAAATTTGGAACATACAATACTGTAGCAAACTTTAATATTGGGAGAAAAAGTTCTTTTTTAATTTACAAACAGTTAAATATGACACCTAGTAAATATACATCAAGTTTGTGCGATAATCAAAATTGAAAAAGTATTTATTTAGCTGGATATAAAAATCTAGAGTCATCCAAGAAGCGGCGAAAGATTCTACGAGGATTATCAAAAGCATCAAAGGACAAATATGAAAACTTTGAAGGAAGCCAATATTCCAGCCAGAAGTCCCTGGGTCATTCTGAAACTCTATTTTAAACATAATTTAGTTATATTTTATATTTTTTGTTAAATTAAAATTTTTTTTTTCTAAATTTACGTTTTTCTCAAAATAAGGTTTTTAAATGTCCCGGCTGTGATAACTTTGGAACCGCTTGGTGTTAAATTATGAAATTTTTTAGTAATTGTCCTATTTTATACCTTCTGTGATTTGAACATTTACTTCTATGAAATACTTGACAGAACACATTCTACGCCTATTTCAATTGCCTAATTTAAAAAAAAATTTATTAAACGATAATATATTTGCCCCCTGAAGAACTAAATGTCGTATTTTTCATAAAATTTTAGGTTCAGATCACAGTTCAAAGTATTAGTTAAAGGGAATTGCAGTATGACAGTTTGAATAAATGTAGTTCTTCGTATAAGTTAGCCGGGGCATTAACTGTTTTTTGGTTATTTTTTCAATATTTTCTT